TTAAATAAATACAAAAAGAAAATTTAGTTAGATCAACAAAAAATAGCTTCTAAGATAAAGGTGAGGAGTAAAAAAGGAACTTGACCGAACTAGTGATTAATTCGGTCAAGCATTATGACCGAAATAAGCCCACCAAAAACGGACCTCGACTCCTTTTTTGGAGAATTTGGCGGGAAGTACCAACATCCCTATGCATATTACTTTGGTCAAAATGCTTGACCAAATAAATATGGGAAAAAAATCTGAGCTAAACTGACATGAAGGATGGGATGGTGGTGTACTTGAAATTTGTTCGATCAAATTAATTGACCGAACAAAGATGGTTTTTTACTATTTTGGTCAAAATTTCTGACAGGTATGAAAATTTTTGTTTCCGTGAGAAATTTGATTTGTAGGTTTGAAATCAAATTCTCCCATTTCTCATTGCATTTTTGTAGTATTTTTAGTCGAAATACGTATCTATATTCTCTTTTCTCATAAAACTTCTACTTCTTCCTACTCATATGGTGTTCTGTAAGCTTTCTCGATAAGTCTTGGCTGGAACCATAGACTAATTAAGAGCTGTTGCTACATGCTAAGGCCAATATTTAGTAGTTTTTTAGATTTTTGATCTAATGAAGGTATGAATACCAACAAGCTTCCTCTTTTTTCTTTTTCGTTTCTTTTATTGGACCTTTTTTTAATTAATTTTTGACAATAATTTAATTTTAAATACAATATTCAATTATTATTATCAATTGTGTTTCAACATCTTTTGTCTGGATCTAGTATTCTATCTTGTTGTTTTGGGTTGAGGTTAATTAAATTTAATATTTTAATTTTTAGAAAATATAATTTATATTTAATCACAAGATTTTAATGTATTTAAATGTGCTATTTGTTCTTCTATCATAATTTTCATGTCCATTAATATGGTTTTTACTTTTTTGATTGATTAATTGATTTTATTTTCACTTAGTCAAGGTACCTAAATTTTTTGTTTCTGGTGCATTTGTCATCGTAAAATAAGTAATTTCTCCTTCATTTTTCTGAATTAGAAGTCAACCAAAAAACAATTATATTATATAAATTTTTTCCTTAATTTTTTTTTTTTAAGAAATTGAGTTTAGAAAGAAATAAAAATACTTATGATTAATAATTGGTAATGTATGATTAAATAAATCAAATAATTTATCATAAAAAATGATTTTATTATTCAATTGATTGATAAATATTGATTACTTTAATTAATAAATTGATTGATTAGAGAATTATGATTATATGCTTTAATTGTTAAGTAAACTATAATTAATTAAATTGTTTGATTGCTAAAAAAGTATAATTAATTAGAATGATTATAATTGATTGATTAATAATTCATAATTACATATTTAATTGTTAAGTAAACTAAAATATGTTTGTTCGGGGGTGCTAGTGATGTAGGTGGATGAGTCAACGGTGGTGGTGACATGAAAATTGACTAAGATGACACCCAAGAAGATGAGGGAGGTTCTTTCGGTGGCACCTATCTCATGTGCAGGAGGCTACATGTTACGACCATCCCGTTTCGTTAGGTGATAATATCTCATAGTGCACTTTCCAACAAGAGCTTTTAAAAAATAAACTTTTCAACCAAGCCGGTAAAGCTGGGCAGCAATGGCGAGATTCTAGGGATTCAAGGTGATCACATAACTACCAAAAACATGATGGAGGGAAGTTGTGCGTTGTTAAGGAAGGGCAACAGAGATGTGGAATACATATGGTTCAAAAATTACACCTTGAGAATCACACTCATACATAAATCATTGTAACATGAGAATAATGACAATAAATGTGACCTCTTTCATCCCTAGTGTAGACTTTTACTCTATAACGAACAATCCTTATATTGAAAATGAAGAGCACAGCAACTCCAATCTTGAGGTTCTTCCAAAGACAAAAGGTAACTTGAGAGTGGTGATGGGAGAAAGAAGGATGACCACTTGGGAGCTTACAAATGGAACGCTTGATCTCATTTTGATGCTAACCTTGCGACCTTGATCGTCTGATGCTCAAGAAGAACTATCCAAAAGCTAAAACTACAGCATTTTGTTCCCCAGCCATAATATCCTGCAAATCTGAAAATATTCTACAATGCTGGGTGATATTCTGCAATGTTGGAAAATATTCTATAGTGTGGGAAAATGTTCTAAAGAGCTGTAGAATGTTCTGTAGTGTTGGAAAATGTTTTAAGAGCTAGAAAATATTCTGCAAAGCTGGAAAATACTTTGCAGAACTGGAAAATACTTTGCAGAACTGGAAAATACTTTGCAGAACTGGAGACACTGGAAACCCAAGAAAAATGGTGGCTAAATGGTGGTTTACGGGTGATTTCTATGTGAAGAACAGTGGGTTGAAGATGGAATATATTTTTCTTTGGAGGAGAAAATGAGACTTTTGGTGTGTAAGTCTATTGTTGTGCTGCATGTCTCTCTCTCTCTCTCTCTCTATATATATATATGTTCTTGAAAATGAAGGGCAGATAATATATATATATATATATATATAGATATGCAGTGGTATTGTTATAATTTTTGGTTGGTGGCTTAAAGGTGTGCAGAAAGGTTGTGATGAGCTGTCAAATTTCTGGTGGTTCCAGCCATTGTTGGCAACTCTATGACAGTGGCATCATGAATTGCCCAATGGTCCCAACGAAGTTTTGCTAGTTCTAGCGAAGAAACTGGAAATTGTACATTTTTGGCAATGTTCTCAGCCATACGAAATCCCATCTTTAGGGAGGTGCTTGAGTGCAATCGGCAAAAGCAACATCTGCACAAGATTTGGTGAGTTCCCCAAGCCCTGCATAAGATTTTGGAAGATTCTCTAGTTAGTTTCTGGCAGGGTTTCCAGTCTTCGGTTAGCATCAAACGGCACTGTTCCGGGAATCAAGTTCATTTCCATGCTTTTGCCACCCAACCTCTTTCTGGCGAAGTTGGGCAGCATTGCCAATGCCAAGCTTTGCTAGTGCAGATGCCTTGTTTCGCCAAATGGGCAATGTTCATCCATCCATGCCTGCCAAGTCACTACTCCTATAATTTATCCCGAATAATCCCCATGAGCTTGAATTCATAGGCTTGTGTTTATCTACAGTAACAACAAGGCACATGTGAATATAAGTTCAGATATTTAAAACTAAGAAACATATAGGCATATGCAGCGAAAAAAGAAACTCCCTCATGTGTTGAAGAGGGACTATGTGAATGAATATTCGTTGCTCTCATTTGCTTACTAACCATGGCTGGCATTAGTATATTGATGTTGTGCATGACTAGCGTTGCACCAGAATGAGGAAC